CTGATGGATATGCTTCATTAACGATACTTGAGCTCGTTGAAGCGGACGCCATTGATTATACTCTAACTGTGGTGGATTCTTCTAATAGGGAAACATCAGTCACTGCTACAGTAGAAGTACAAGGTAGGATAAAATAAGAATTTTGTAAATTTATTTTATTATTATTTTTGCACCTTTGTGATGGTATTTTGATTATGCCTAAACAGCCACAGCTAAACACACACATTTATTTATTTATTTGTGATGTATCGTTTATGATATAACGCTGTCACTATAGTTTGCTTCCTATTTGCATGCCGCCTGTAAAAGAGCTTGTTGAAGTATATGAATGTGCATATGTACATCTTTGCTTCCAAATATTTACTGCATGTAACTAATACGAGAACTAATATTTCCTTCACGTACTCCTAAGTTATTTGTAACTAATACTCTATGTACTAGTACATGCGTTTCATCCAGGTTATAATTATACGTGTAAGCTATACTGTATTGCATTACAATCCTTCTTTCTCTCTCTTGTCTCATTTTCCATCTCGTCTCTAATTAATTCACACTTCTCTCCTATTTCTCCTTCTCTCCTAATCTTATAATTCTCTCTCTCTTTCTCTCTTTCTCTTTTAGTTCCACCTGCCATATTACTTTCTCCAACTAATACCACTGATATAATACTAAGCACTGTACAATTATCATGTTCCTCCAGAGGCTGGCCAGCTCCTAACATCACCTGGCTAAAAGACGGGGCTGAAATCCTTTGCTCTGACGCTATTTCCATATCAACGTTCAGAGGAGAGCGTCAAACAGTCAGTACTCTCGTCATAGGAGAACTAAAACTAGAAAATGCCGGGAGCTACCAGTGTAATGCTAGCAATGAGCTCATTATTGGAAGGAGTGTTTTGTCTGACACTGCTCTCATTACTGTTTTACGTGAGTTACACTATTGTGTGTTCATGTATAGAATGTACATGTACATAATAATGTAGATGGTCTTGTATGAGGGACTATATGTACATAATGTCTTTATTTTGTACTTCCTCCCAATCAATTTGTAGCACTATATGCACAGGTGTACGATAGTAAATACTAATTGTCATCAATTTCCTCTTATTGCTCTCTCTCTCTCTCTCTCTCTCTCTCTCTCTCTCTCTCTCTCTCTCTCTCTCTCTCTCTCTCTCTCTCTCTCTCTCTCTCTCTCTCTCTCTCTCTCTCTCTCTCTCTCTCTCTCTCTCTCTCTCTCTCTCTCTCTCTCTCTCTCTCTCTCCCC